AAGAATGTAAGTAAACTAGGTGGAACCAAGCTGAGAACCAAGTTGAGAACCAAGCTGGGAACCGCAGTGACAGGGCAAGGCCGAAGTAACAGGGCAGGACCACATTCTTGAGAAAGATAAGCGTACAGAGAGTTTTCACCTGACCCTGACTCCCGTAGGTTGGGTTCCTTTGGAATGTTCCACTATTTTTATGTTACATCACCCTAACAACCCCTCACCCCCTCCCCATTCCTTGGTTTGTGTTTTTTTCCTTTAAAAACACCTCTCAAACTGGCTGTCGGGGTCAATTCCACTCCTGCGTGGGCATACGAATTGACCGGCAGCTAGTTGTCACGCCCTAATAAACAACCTCGCAATTGCTCTGGTACATGGTGTCTCGAGCAGATTACTGGGTGGTCGCGACTTTCTGAGACTTGAGAGAGGGTCTCCCCTCTGCGGAGGTCTTCAATAGCATTAGTGCATCAGCCATCTTGCCTGTCATGTTGGTAGTACAGTATGCAAGATCCACAGCTGAGCAGAAATGTCAGCAACGTTTCTCCCTCCGTAGCCTGTGTGCTGCCTTCTTGACTACAAAAGTCTGCCATCAAGGAAGAAACTTCCAGCTTAGGGTTAGCTTCATTTCTCCAAGTCATGCAACAAAAGAACACAGTTACTTCAGCCATAGGTATGCTCCTTCAAGCTCTGGTGTGCGGCCAACAGCATTGTCAATAATCTAAGGTTTGTGGGGCCTCAGGTGCCTGCCTGGTCATCAACTCATCCGGAGGTAGCCCAGCCCAGCGCTGGAATTCTTACCTCGCAGCTTTATGGCTGCCTCTGGGATTTCATTTTCCACCTACATAAGGGTGCCTTCATCCAATCTCTGGAGTTGCTAGGTTTTTTGTTTTTGTTTTTTTCTGTTCTAAATATGTTTCCAAATCTGTAAAACTCTCAAAGGTTAGCAATATATAATGAAACCTTTTCATCTATTACAGTCAAATGTCAATTGGTGTTCTATAATTATGGGGATAGTAAAAAGGAAATATTACTAAAATCTAGTATAGAATGAAAAGATTCTCTCTCTCTCTCTCTCTCTCTCTCTCTCTCTTTCTCTCTCTCTCTCTTTCTCTCTCTCTCTCTCTTTCTCTCTCTCAGGCTGAACAGATGTATCAGCAATTCAAAGCGCTTGCTACGCTTGCAGAGGACCTGGGTTCAGTTCCCAGCACTAACATGGCAGCTCATCACTGTTTTGAATTTCAGTTCCAGTATAGAGGATGTCCTCTTTTTGGATCTGTGGGCATGGCACACATGTGGTAGACATACATGCAAGCAAAACCACTCACACACCCGAAATAAAAATACATCTTTTTTTTAAAGAAAGAAAAGATCTCTTCATTTCTGTCATCATTTGTCAAAAGAACAATGTTATTAGGTATAGAAGTGTGGGTGGAGAACTACTCACCCTCGTTCCCATATGCTGTCATCATGAGACCTTTATACATCTTCCCATACATGATAGGGTTTTTTTGTTTGTTTGGGTTTTTTTATGGTTTTTGTTTTTTTTTGGTTTTTTGAGACAGGGTTTCTCTTGTAGCCCTGGCTGTCCTGGAACTCACTCTGTAGACCAGGCTGGCCTCGAACTCAGAAATCTGCCTGCCTCTGCCTCCCAAGTGCTGGGATTAAAGGCGTGCGCCACCACCGCCCGGCCATACATGATAGTTTTAACAAGACTGACTCACAGTGCTCGGCTTAGGCCAGGATCGTACTAGAGAAGAGCTATGATCTCCCTGCTGTGTCTGTTACTGGAGCCAGCTTCCTGGCTCTGATAGGCCATAGCCCAGGACAATGGGTATTGCCTCTCTGTCAGCCACCCCTGGCTGCTAAAATGGCCTAGATCAGAGTGTACAGTTTCTACCCCTAGTACACTTTCTTACAGGAAAGTAATATACACCACATACTTAACCTATGGGTTAAGTTCTAATCTTTTTCACCTGTACTGTTGTATTCTCTACTTCTTTAATCCCCGATTAAACTTCCATTCAGGCTTTAAAGCATTCCAGAGGTAAATAAGCTCAGAGCCTTTGTCAATCCTTTCCCTAGGAAATCGTGCCACGCATCTGTTCTTTTGAGTGACTCAGACAGGCCCCTTTATCTGCTTTCCCTTGTCTTCATCCACTCCTAAATGTTTTACTCTCCCATGACAAACTCAATTTGTATGCTGATCTGAATCACATAGACCCCCTGATGTCTCTCCCAAGACATAAAGATCACACCTAGAAGAACACAGCCACCTTGTGGTCCCCCAAGGATGTTCCACCCTTAGACATCTCTGCCCTGGTGAGATTTGTTTGTTTGTTGGTTGGTTGGTTGGTTTTTGAGATGGGGAGCGTCTCTGTGTAGCCCTTGCTGTTCTGGAACTTGCTCTGTAGACCAAGCAGGCCTCAAACTTATAGATGTCTGCCAGCCTATGCTTCCCTAGTGCTGGGATTAAATGCATGTACCACCACTCCCTGGCTTTGGTGAGATATTTTATTACCCATAGCATGGGAGCATGGGATTGCTTCTCCTGACACAACTTTGGATATATAAGTCCTTATTCAGGTGTCACTTGTGGCTTTCCCTGGAAAGATGCAAACCAAGTCTGTTCACCGGAGACGGGGCATCAGTGACAGAAAAAGGGGAACTTATCTAGAAGCACCTTTATCTTGTTAAAGCACTTAGTTAACCATGGTTACTTACAGGAGCATGACTGAGGGATCACTTGCTGGAGTATGGGAGACACTGGGGACTGCGTCACTGAGAAGTCCACCTCAGCCTGGGTGATGAGAGCGGCACCCCAGAGCTCCTGGACAGCTTGAAATCAGCTGCACCTAGGCAGCTCCTCTCCCATACTTGTTTTACTAATTTAACCTCAAGGAGTAGCATTATGAGTCTGGCCTGTTTCTTAAGTTCCCTGACAATTTTGAGCCTCATCCTCCTACCACAAACCAAATCAAAACCTGCTCTCACCATTAAGAGTTAAGATGATTGTTCTACAGCCAAATTTGAATGACGTGGTCCTGGAACATAGATTTAGTTTACCCCAAATTCTATGTTCCGATGCAGAAGTGAGAACCTAGGAGAGTGTAGACTCTAGGCAGACTCCCTGGTAGGCAGACAGACAGGGAGAGGGGCCGTGCATGGATAGGTAATAAAGGTGACAGATTTCCAAGTCGACCATCTTCCTCAGTCAGGTCTGGCCACACAACCTCAACAAGCATATTAAAAGAGCTCATTTAAAAGTGGAAAGCAGGGGAGGGGGTGCTGTGGAGGGGCACACCTTTAATCCCAGCAAAGGCAGGCAGACATCTACAGAGCAAGTTCCAGGACAGCCAGAACTACATCAGAGAAATCATGTCTCAGCGAGGGAGAGAGAGAGAGGGATGGGAAGAGAGAGAGAGAGAGAGAGAGAGAGAGAGAGAGAGAGAGAGAGAGAGAGAGAGCAGAAAAGAAATTTAGTCAATATGGCCATACTGGAAAGAAGGACAGAAGGACAGGGATCTATGGACCCAGGGACCCATCTTCCCCACCTCAAGCTTATCTTCCAGGTACTTAAATGAGTTCAAAGTTTAAACAGCCTCAGGCATGCACTCTAAGCGGCCTTGTCTAGGCAGTGGTCATGTGTACAATGACTCATTGCTTTTCTGTGCTTCAGCCCCATCTTGTAAGATGCTCTAACTGTTAGAAACTGTGCCAAAGAAATGTTTCCCAGGAGACAAGATCCCCCTCTGACTGGAACCTTTTCTTTCTCTCAGCATGAGATTCCTGGGGAGAGGCCCTTTTCTTTGAGGTCCATTGTTTCAATAGTCTGATAGTCGGAAGGAGAGACACAAAGTGTCCCTTTAAAATCTATCTTTGTCAGCCTGATACAGAAACTTAACCCATTTTGCATCAGGACAGCTGTTTTGAGGGGCAGCACTTTTTAAGAGGAGATGAGGTGGACAGGGCTCTGCTGCCATGGGTGAATTACCGTTACTATGGAGCAGGTTAGGTATTGAAGAGTCAGCCTGCCTCTGTTTTAGGCTTAAAAGTCATCTTACAGTAAGGACAAACTAGGTTTATTCCTGCTTATGATTAAACCTCTGTTTCTCAAAGATATAGCTATGCCCCACCTGTAACCTTAACTACAAATGGTCCTTTCAGTGCTGCCTGTGACTGTTCCAGGAATGGCAGTCATATCTTTTATAACCATCTGCCTCATTTTACAATGCAGGGTAAAATGAAAGGGGAAAAAAATCATCTTTAATGAGCAAGAGGGGGAGGGGCAAAGTCTTGAGTTCATCAGGAGTCCACCCCTAAGAAGAGTGCATGAGCTTGCCCCTTCCTCTCTCATTAAGGGGGACACACCTTTTTTTCTTTCATTTTACCCTGGGTGGTAAAATTTCCATCCTCACCAAGTGAAAGCCCCCCAATTTTGGCTTGCCCAACCTCCGCGCCTCTAATTTGTTTTCTTTTTTAAATTTTATTTTACTTTTTTTTAATTGGATATTTTCTTTATTTACATTTTAAATGTTATCCCCTAGCCCATCCCCCCTCCCCCTGCTTCTGTTAGGATTCTAATTTGTTTTCAAAAATAAATTCTTGAGTCCTGAGTATCTGCTTTAGCATCACAAGACTGTTCCATAGCATAACGTTCGCACTCGCCCATTCTTCTCTATTTGTAACTCATGATTTTGTTGACACACAATTAATTCACAAACTGTAAGCTCTAATGATTTAGTATGTTGCTGCTATAGTTTTATTGAATACAGTGCATTTATCTATATGTTTATATTACTGGCTTCCCTCATAGAGAATGTAAACACTGCCAGCACAGGAATTGGAATCCTCATGCACCCCCTGTAGCATCAGCACCCTAAAGAGTGTACTCAGCAATGGTTGTCGGATGAGTCAGCGAAAACTTCTAGAGCAAACCTGTTCTTCTCCCCGGGGAACAAAGTGTTAACCAGCGCACCCTGGGGGGGTGTGTTCATTTCCTAAATGGTCAATGGCGGATGGGTGGAGCTTTCAGACTTGGAGGACTGTGAACTCTTGTGTAACAGCTGCTTTCCAGAGTGCCAAGAGACAAAATCCTACAAGAATAAGGTGAGTGTGTACACGCGTTCGTGTGTGTGTGTGTGCACAATTTTGCTAAACCTACAGCTTATAATCAGCAACTGTTTTAACTTTGTGGTTTATTAACTCAAAGTTTGTTTAGGCCAATAAAAGGCACACATTTTTTTCTGCATAGTAGATAAGTGATTGGTACAGTCCAAAGGTCGTTTTCTCCACCAAGTAAACAATTAAAAGCAGGAAACATTTCAACTGTAACAGGTAGCAGTGAGGAAATCTCATACCCTGCAGACAGGAGCAGAGAATCAGCAGCTGAAGAAAGGGGCTTGCTGGGAACAAGAAACCACCGCGTGCAGCAGACACAGAGAAAAAGATCTGCAACGCAGACACAACAAAATCTAAAAACCCTTGGTCTCTTCTCAAGGGCTGGATTTGTTTGTTTGTTTGTTTAGTCTCAGAAGAACTTTTCTCCCCTAATTTAGGGTTGGTCAGTTCGAAGAAAAGTTGTTTCTCTCGCCTGTAACTCTTGTGCAAACCAGCCCTGATCCGGCCTAGAACTTGTTGAGTTAGTCCCTCAGCGGCCGACCTGCTGGTGGGAGACAAAAGCCAGCAAGGCCAGTTTAAAGGGCCAGGCTTTTCTCTCAGCCAGGAGAGTGTAGAAGAAGCCAGCCATTTTGGAAGTTCATTATGTTTATTACATATCCATGGCCCCTCTCTCTGTCTGTCTGCTTACTGAGGAATCTGTCTAACTCCTAGTCTTTTATGTTTCTGAAGAAAATAGCAAATGGACACCTATCCAATAGACAGGCTTGCACTGTCTGTGCACAGCTTAAGTGTGACTGGACACACTAAAACACCCTCACATATTATAACTTCAAAAGCAAATACATAAGACTTTTTAAAAAATCGTTTTATTTGTTTACATTTCAAATGATATCCTCTTTCCTGGCTACCCCTCCACAACCCCACCCCATGTCATCCCCCTCTCTCCCCTCCCCTTTGCCTCTATGAGGGTGCTCCCCTACCCGCTCACCTACTCCACCCCTCACCGCTCTGGCATCCTCCTATGCTGGGATATCAACCCTCCACAGGACTAAGGGCCTCCCTTTGATGTCAGAAATGGCCATCCTCTGCTACATATGTATCTGGAGCCATGGATCTCTCTTTGGTTGGTGGTTTAGTCTCTTGGAGCTCTGGGTGGTCCGGTTAGTTGATATTGCTCTTCCTATGGGGTTGCAATCCCCTTCAGCTCCTTCAGTCCTTCCCCTAGCTCTTCCATTGGGGTCCCCGGGCTCAGCCTGATGGTTGGCTCTATTGCATCTGTGTTGGTCAGGCCCTGGCAGAACCTCTCAGGGAACAGCCATACCAGGCTCTTGTCAGCAAGCACTTCTTGGCATCAACAATAGTGTTAGGGTTTGGTATCTGAAGATGGGATGGATCTCTAGATGGGTCAGTCTCTGAATGGCCTTTCCTTCAGTCTCTGTTCTGTTTGTTTTTTGTTTTTTTTTTTGTTTTTTTTTGTTTTTTTTGTCCCTGTCTTTCCTCTGGATAGGAACATTTCTGGGTTAAAATTTTTGAAATGGGTGGGTGGCTCTATCCCTCAACTGGGAGCCATGCCTATCTACCGGAGGTGGTCTCCACAGGTTCTATCTCCCCTTTGTTGAATATTTCAGTTAAACAGGGCTGGTGAGATGGCTCACTGGTTATGAGCCCTGGCTGCTCTTTTGAGAGGTCCTGAGTTCAATTCCCAGTAACCACATGGTAGCTCATAACCATCTACAAAGGGAACTGATGCCCTCTTCTGGCATGCAGATGTATCTGCAGCAGAGCACTCATAACAATAAATAAATTTTCCAATGGGGACGACTTTAGCCGAAATACATAAGACTTAAGTGGGATTTTAACTGAATTTGATTTTTTTTAAAGATTTATTTTATTTATTTTATGTATGTGAGTACACTCTTGCTGTCTTCAGACACCAGGAGATGGAATCAAATCTTGTTACAGATGGTTGTGAGCCACCATGTGGTTGTTGAGAATTGAACTCAGGACCTCTGGAAGAGCAGTCAGTGCTCTTAATCACTGAGCCATCTCTCCAGCCCCCCTGAATTTGAATTTGAAAATACTTACTAGTATTTAGGCATTCACACGTGCTCATGCATGCACCTCTCTGTCTCTGTCTCTGTCTCTGTCACACACACACACACACACACACACACACACACACATTCTCCCTTGGAAAGTCTCAGTTATTTTTTACCTACATAAAAAGGAAGCATGTGCCAGCCAAAGAGTGCCACTGTGCTTCCATGTGTCTACTCCATGCTTTCAGAAGACTTAACCCAAATGACTCAAACACTGGAGTTTTCCCCCGGTCCTGCTCTTGCAGAGAGCTGTGCTAAGATGAAGTGCAGGGGTTCTTGAAGAAGCAAGCTCTGGTAAGGTGTTTATTGGTTCGTTTCTCAGACTTGCCCCAGCCTTTAAATACCACATGACAGCTTTATTCATGCATAGCTACAAGGACCTAGGTAGATTAGAGTCTCTTTCTTTGTTTCATTTTTTCATCTAAGCAAGTGTATAAACCATAAACTGTTAGTGTTTTTGTGAACATAAACCAATCCACATAATTAATAAGAAGTTTAGTTTCTGAGTATGAAAGATGGGGAAGAGATACTTAATCCAAGCACCTGGGTCAAAGCCTCTGTCCCACAGAGGCTGTGTCCCGCAGGAGTGTGGTATGGCTGCAGAGAGCTTTTTGGAGGGGTTGGTTTCATGCATGTGCCTGTGCTAGCTGACCCAAGATCTGGTGATCCGTGTTGACCCGGTTCATGGAAAGAACAGACAAGGGTTACATGCTGACTGCTGACCCCCAGGACAGGTGATTGAATTCTCACTCTACACGGAGTTCCCCAAACTCCATCTGGGCAGGTCTTCTCATTTCTTTTCTTTTTTAAATGTTATTGTGTATAGGTGTTTTGTCTGCGTGTCATGGTGTTCACCATGTGTGCAGTGCCCAAGGATATCAGACCCTCTGGGCCTGCAGTTATTGAGTGTTGTGAGCTGCCATGTGGGTTTTGAGATGAACCCGGTCCTCTGCACTCTTAACAGTTGAGCCATCTCTCTAGCACATACCTATAACTTCCTAATGGGCATCTAGAAACTGTTGCTGGTGGTCCCTAAACATGGTCAGGAGAATGCTGCTCACTTCTGACAGAAGCAGGTTGACTTTTTTTCTCACAAGCAAATCTTGCCGTAATCTGCCATGGAGAAGGGGTATTTTTAGGTTGCTAGGTTTCGATGTTTAGTGCCTTGCACATGCTCTCTCCTTTTGACCTTGGAACTAAGCCCTGCTAAGAGCTGAACTCTGAATGGGTACCTATGGCCTAACTCATGCAGTTGTATTAGGAGAAGTGGTCTTCCATTTTCTAGAAGATTTTGTACTTCTTTTTCATCTAAACTGTCGCCCCAGTTGTAGCCACCTGCTCACAAGGCCAACTCCTTATCCTGCGCTTCTGTGCATCTCCGTGGCTTTACCTCTCGTCTACGCATCCACACAGGAGCTCTGCTCACCGTCTTTCGTCTGGGCTGTAAATGGAGGCAAAGTATACGGTGTGTATGAGGTTGTTTTCCAAACATATTTTTTACTGCTGTCCTTTAGGAAACGCTGAACCAGGAATCATGGAAGCCAAACCCAAGCTCTACTACTTTCAAGGCAGGGGAAAGATGGAGTCGATCCGCTGGCTGCTGGCTGCGGCTGGAGTGGAGGTCGGTTCCTGGTTGGGGATGTAGTTTGAGTCCCATCTCCTCCTCCTCCCCTTCCTTTCCACCTGTTTTCTTAGCTATGAAAAGGGGAGAGATTACAGTCATGAGGTGCAGGGCACGAGGGAAGTTGAGGGCCTGGGATATCCTGAAGCTTCCAGAGACGGGGTGACCTTAGGGGAAGACTAGCTCATTTCCTCCATGAGATTGGTTGTTTTTTTTCGGAGGCCATTTAACCCCCGCCTCAGTACCTCACTCATGGAATTCGTGGCCGCCAGCAGGAGCCCTGGCCCAGATTTAAGTCTGCTGACTGGCTCTTACCTTGACTCTAACTCTCCTCATGGACTTTATAGACTTCTTGGAACTGCCTCTCTCAGTATGGATGCTGTCTCCTCTGGAACAAGGCTCACTGCTGTTTTTGTTTCCCACTCTACAGACTCCTCCCTGAACTGGTCATCTGTCCCACCCCATCTCAAGCTATGAAGGACAAAACCACCCTCACAAAGCTTTAGATGGCTCTGGATGGAGACTAATTACAGCTTTAGCCATCAGTAATGACCATAATCTCACTTGAGTAGGCTCTTTGGGTATATCAGTCTCAAAGATAAACTAATTTGACTTCATATGAAGGAAAAATTATAAAGCCAAAGAAAGAGAAGAGAGGAAAAGAAAGAGGGAAAATCACTGGAGAAGTCTGGGGCAAAGACAAATGTTTGAAGGAGGGAAGAGCTAGTTGAGGCAAAGCAAAAATGGAGATCATTGCGTTGGGGATCCTAGTTGAACTGCCCGGATGTCTTCTTTTCCCTTTCTATCCTTTTAGACTCATCCAACCAGTACCCGCCCACCCCACCCCTACTCCCCAGCCACATGCATCCCAGGATAGCTATGCATGTAGCCAACACATCAGTAGATGACAACAATATGTCACAACATCAAAAGGTTGGACATCCTTGAAAGCTAATTTCTAAATACACACCCCATCACACTCATAGCAGGGAGCTGGCAGCTTTGTGGTTCCTTTTAGATTATCTGAAGGCCATAAGGCATTTCTGGACGGTCTCAGAATCTTTCTCCCTGCTTCCTATCTTAAAGTTATAACAATGTCTCTCTGTCTTTAATCTAGTTTGAAGAAGAATTTCTTGAGACAAGAGAACAATTTGAGAAGTTGAAAAACGGTGAGTCTTGGTTTATTCAACACTGTCTTATTGGAAAAGATAAAAATGTGTTTCTGGAAATATTCATCATGCAGAACACAGGTCTCGGGAATGGTAGCTACTATCAGGAAAGGATAGCCATTCCTACAAGCTCTGCCTGACGCATCCCTGTCTGCCTGCTGCAAATGTATGATCTCTGTAGCCTTCATACATATCAAGTGTCTGAGCACACTGGCTTCAGCCAGCACAGTCTATGTTCGTTAGTTCTGAGTGGGTCAGCACCCAACTCTCTTAAATAACTCTTAATATTGTCTTGGCATCTGGGAGCAGGGTAAGGAGACTAAGTACCCTTTGTGCTTCATATCTCTTTTTCTTGGTGTTTTTAATAAATTTATCAAATTATGGCACAAAGGATAGAATTAAGCCTAAACCATATGCAGTTTTTACTTTTAAATCTTATTCTCTGACAGTTCTATCCACGTATATAAATTATTTTGATCACATTTCCCCCTCCCCATTACGCTCTCTTCTCCTCTCTTCTTCCCACTGACTGTTTTCTTCTTCCTGGCAAGTTTCCTTCCTATTTTTAAGTCTTTATTTATTTTTTTAATTACTGAATTTAGTTAGAATTGTTGGTTGGAAGGTTATTTACTGGGCAATTTGCAAGTGGCTACACCACTGAAAAATATGATTCCTTCTCTTCCTGTATCTATTAACTATCAATAGCTCCTCAAGGAACTATGGGACCCTGAAGCCATTCCTCTATCCATGATGGAATGTTGATGGATCCAATCTTGACGTAGTCACGATAACCATAGCCACTGTGATTTCATGAGTGGAATGATCCAGAGACACTGTATTATGGCATCCTTCCCTGCTTCCTGCTTGTACATGCACCTAACCTCTCTTTGATGATGCTGCCAGAAGTCCTGGAGAGAGCGATATAAAAGTCCTGTGTAGGCTTTCTCAGCTCTTCGACAACTAAGGAGCTTCTGCCTTACCTGCTACTCACAACAAACTGAAACATCTTTTGACCAAGGTTTGACTGTAGTGCTAATCTGTGAACATAAGTATAAGCATTTAGGCGGTAGATGGACAGCATGTCCATTTAGCAAGCCAAAGAAGTAGATTCTTGCTTGAGTTTATGACCTCCTCAGCCATAGACCTTGGATGAAGTTACCTTGGATGAAACCTTTCCTATAGAAGGGGTTGAAAATTCAACCAGAAAGTAGTTGATTATCCCCAAAATAGTCACACCTATCATACCTGCACATTTTGTTGGGGAGATTGGTCCTGTAGCATGCATGGTCTGCAGCTGGGTGAGACCACTGATGGCTCCCCCCACCCCCCAAGTAGCCTACATAGCATGCTACAGGATGATGAAAGATAGCCACAGGGATGAGACTTCCAGTTCAGTTCAGACTTGATTTCTCTATGTCCTGAATTCAAAGTGAATGGTATCTTTAGAAGTAGACTCTATCCTCCAGCTCTGGCGGGAAACCAAGATCATTGCAATAGCTTGCATTATTGGGGGGCTTCTGGGACCTCCAAAACCAGTGGCTCACAGGGGACACTCCTTTACCCAGTACTGGGATTTTTATTTAATAACCCACTACTTCTGGGAACAGCATTTACACATCCCCTCAGTGCATCTCGGTTCCCACATATCTGTCTTTTAAAAAATATTCTTAATTAGGTAACTAGGTTTCCATATGGCTTTTTTATATCTCCTAAGTTTTGGGTTACCCTTCTCTTCTCCCCATGACTGAATGTTGACAGGCCCAGTCTTATGCAGGTTTGATGCAGGCAGTCTCAGCTGCTGTGAGTTGGGGATTATAGCGGCCATATCATGCCCAGGAATTATCATATCGTGTTTCCCCATTATTTGGCCCTTATACTCTTTCTTCCCTCTCTTCTGTGATTTTTCCTGAGCCTTTCTTGCTTCTACTTTTGTATCCCTCGCATTCTATTTCCATCCCAAACCTCCTGAGTCCCCTCCCCTCCCTTTTCTGGCTTCCAAGCCTTTATAGACACTCCAAGTTAAGCATTAAGCACATACATCTAAAACCTTGAGGCTAGGATCCACAATGAGAAAGAGCTTGTTACATTTGTCTTCCTGCACTGGGTTTCCTCACTCAGTAAAGTATTTTCCAGTTCTATCCATTTTCCTCCAAATTTTATACCTTTCCTTTTCCTTAGTGCTCAGTAGAAACATTCCACTGTGTATGGACCACATTTTCATCCTCCATTAGTTGATGGGCATCTTGGCTGGTTCTATTTCCCGGCTACTGTGAACAAAATAACAATGAACATGTATGTGCAAGTGTGTCTGTAGGAGGAGATAGAGTATTACTATGTAGTCTAGGCTGACCCCTGAATTTGTTATCCTCCTGCCCCAGCATCTTGAGTGTGGACTATCATGTCTAGCTTAAATGAGTTTTGACCAAAAGAAAAAGACCAATTACTGGTAGTATAATTCTCAGAAAAATTTCTCACACTGAGAGGAACTGCCACTGCCAGTGTCCCCACTGTTGTTGTCCAGCAGTCATGAAATTGCCACAGACTGTCACCAACAATTGCACAGCTCTGGGCAAGATTTATTTTTTTTTTTATTTTTTTTATTTTTTTTGGTTTTTCAAGATCGGGTTTCTCTGTGTAGTCCTGGCTGTCCTGGAACTCACTTTGTAGACCAGGCTGGCCTCAAACTCAGAAATCCACCTGCCTCTGCCTCCCAAGTGCTGGGATTAAAGGCGTGCGCCACCACTGCCCGGCTTCTGGGCAAGATTTTAACTTCTCTGTCTCCTTGCTTCATTTCTGTAAGATGAAAATAATCTGTCCACAGTTTACAACATGCCAGTAGATCTCCCTGAAGTGGAAAGCTATGACCACCTTTCCCCTAACTCCTTTGCAAGGACTTGTTTGTTTTTTGAAATTCTTTTTTCTTTTTTATTCTAGCCTCTGGCTCATGGTATGGGTAATAAAGGATACATGTGCTCACAATAAGTGTAGCTCCATAGGCCTTTCCACAAGGGGTCCATCAGACAGTGGTCCCAGACAGCTCCTGTGGTGCTCCAGCCCTCCCTATGATGTTGCTGTAGCACTGGGGATGCCCTCCTAGGCCCCACAATTCTGAGCAGGATACAGCATAGGACAGCAGAGAAGTCGAAACAAAGTCAGAAGGTTCACTGTCACTAGCTTAGCTGCTCTGAGACTGTGTGACTTTGGTAGATTACACTCCCTTCCCTTGGCCTCTGAGGTGCCTTCTGTAGCAGAAAAGAATTAAACTAATCAGTGACAAAGATATTTCCCTGCTTTCTTGATCTGGGTTTTTAAAAATTTCTCTGAAAAAGAACAACTTCCTGGAGCAGGCATCATTTCTAACTGGTCCTATCACTCCGGAGCGGCAGCTCAGTGATCAGCACTAAGTTAGTCATTCAGTGTTGAATGATTGTGGAAATCCAGTGATGTAGTACAGCAAGTGAGCCTCCCCATTCATCATAATCTGTTATTTGCAAAGAATGGTTACAAGGTCATCCACTTAATGCAACTATGTAAATGGTCAGACGTTTATGCATCAGAAGGTGGACTCAGAGAAGCCAGAGACTTGCCTAACACATCTGGGAAGAGAGGGACACTGGCTCTTTGAAAGCTGTCACTGTTTCTTACCGTGGTGTTCACCATCTTCCAGTACCATTGAATCAAGTGAGCATCATTAGAAGTCAGAGAAATAGGGTGTGGTGGAGCATCTTTAATCCCAGCACTTGGGAAGCAGAGGCAAGCATATCTCTGAGTGTGAGGACAGCCTGGTTAATGTAACAAGTACCAGAACAGCCAGGGCTACAGAAAAGCCCTGCCTCAGAGAGAGAGAGAGAGAGAGAGAGAGAGAGAGAGAGAGAGAGAGAGAGAGAGAGAGAGAGAGAGAGAGGCTATCACAATGCACTAGTGAAGTGTGGTTCCAAGCTTAAGCATTGTCATGAGGACAATGTGCTGGTATTAATGGAAATTGAGAATGTATTCCTTCTGCACTGTGATTACCTACAAATGCATTCTAATCCCAGGTTACAATGGACCTTTGGTCAACAATGGACTACATACACAAATGGTGTTCTCATAAGATTATTCTAGTGACTCTGTAGGCATCTTAGTTTGTGTCCACTCACTCTATTGTGTCCATACAAGGACAAAATTACCTAACACATAAACTTCAGAATGTTTTACTGCTGTTAAGCAATGATACACTATAGTTATTATAGGTAGTCACCAGCTAAAACTTGCTTTTGACTCACTTTGATTACTGGCATTGGTTTACAGCTACTGTGTCCTTCCATGCTTTTGAATCCAGCTAAATAGATATTGTTGTTAGCTATAGGATACTGAAGCTCAGATAAGTAGCTTGTTCAAACATGCATTGCTATAGTGGATTGAAAATGATATTGAACCCAGGACTGTGTGTGATGTGTTCGTGTTGCTATGTCTGTCCTTCCTGCTGTCATGTGTGCCTATAAACTATGTGCTTTTAAAAGAATGCATACTCTCAGACTTTAATCCCAACCCAGAATACCGAGAGCAAGAGATTCTTAGCATCTTTCATGCCAAATGCTCAAAGACTTTTACACAATTTAAGCTTTGAGAACCAGAAATGCTAACTCTGTGTGTATGTATGTATGTATGTATGTATGTATATGTATACTTATATATGTATATGTATGTATAAATATATATGTGTATGTATATATTTATATGTATTAGAGTAAATATAGAAAAATTTTTAAAAATTGCTATTGTCCAATACACAAAAATGCATCAAGTAATCAAAGCTCAGATTTGACACAAAACAAATGATTGTTATTTCTATATCTACTGAGGTCTGTCATTCATCCTTATAACTGAAAACTAAAAACCATCCAGTGGACTTAGTTGGGTCATCCTGCAGACGGACTGCAACCACTGAAGCCATTGAAGATGAGTGTCTTACCCCTCTCTTTCACATCCCAGATGGACGCCTGCTTTTTGGCCAAGTACCTTTGGTTGAAATGGATGGAATGCTGCTGACACAGACCAGAGCCATCCTCAACTACCTCGCTGCCAAGCACAACTTGTATGGGAAGGACCTGAAGGAGAGACTCAGGTATTTTACGTGAAGGTGCAGGTGACTGATTCAGCAAACAAGTCTTAAACATTATACTGATGATCAATTTTACTGTCAACCTGAAACAGATTTCACTTAGCAAGCACTTGTCTGCAGGGTTCTGGGTAGCTTCTATTTGGCCTAGGCTGGAGTTATCCCAGCTAGACTCACCCATATGTCTGCCAACCAGTAATTAGCCAGGTAGCTCTGGATTTGAGTATTGGCCAATTGTTAGTTCGGGAGGAATAGGTCACATACCCACATCCAGGGGTTCTAGCCTTCTCATGATATGTAGACAATTCTAAGAGTAGAAAAATGTAAGGGTTGTAAGCTTCAAACCCAGAACAAGTCCCTCCTTAGTCAGTCACAAGGACAGTCTGGGAAAAAGACCTGTAGACGGAAGGACCTGACAGGACTCATCATACATACTGGAGGATGAAAAGCTGGAAGTTTGGTGTTTTTTCCTTGTATCTGTCTACCACTGTGCTGGACCTGCCTAAGGCAGGTTTATTATTAAACCAAATAGTTCACTTTCATGTCGATAAGTACGCTTAAGGCAAAAATAAAGAAAAAGAAAGAAAGAAAAGGTAAAAGTAAAAAAAGAAAGAAAATTTAATCTATATTTGGGGGTAAGTAAAGGGTCCCTAAGATCTCATCATTGCAAACACTGAAGTGGCAGAGTGGTCAGTGCAGATAGAAGTTACAGTAGTAAAAAAATTCCAAGTTCCATTATTCAGAAAACAGAGAAAGGTCACATAGGAATGAGCAAAGCTCAGAAGCCCAGTAGCTGACCTCTCCATCCCCACACCTTCCTCCTTAAAGCAGATGGCAGGAGACGCAATTCCACAGCCTATGAGTACCATGCGTTTTCATTGTTTTGATATATAGCCCCCCAAGACAGGGTATTTCTGTGTAGCCCTGGCTGTCCTAGAACTTACTCTGTAGATCAGGCTGGCCTCCAACTTGAAATTACACAGCTCTACCTTTCTCTGTCTCCTGTATGCTGGGATTAAAGGCATGTGCCTCCATCTCCTGTCTTGATGTGTATTTTTTTAAGTGGGTAGGGTTTTTTGTTTTTTTGTTATTTTTGTTTTTTGTTTTATTTTATTTATTTATTTATCTTTATAACCTCTAAACCATCGTAATCCCACTCTGCATGTGGCAGATTTCAACATATAGGCACCTATACCTTTCATATATCCTTTCATTCAATAAATGTTTTCAGAGCCTCTACTTTCTCATCTTGTTAGATCTGGCTTGCAGTCCAAGTTTCCTTTTCAATGAGACTCTGGTGTGTTTTCAGGATTGACATGTATATTGACGGCATCCAGGACCTGATGATGATGATTATTGGGGCTCCATTTAAAGCCCCTCAGGAAAAAGAGGAAACCTATGCTTTGATAGTGACAAAAGCTAAAACCCGTTACTTCCCAGTGTTTGAAAAGGTAAGCTTGTGGCTGGAGAGATGGCTCAGTGGTTAAGAGCACTGACTGCTCTTCCAGAGGTCCTGAGTTCAATTCCCAACAACCATGTGGTGGCTCACAACCATCTGTAATGGGATCTGATGCCCCCTTCTGGTGTGTCTGAAGAGAGCAATGGTGTACTCATATACATAAAATAAATAAATCTTTTTTTTTTTTAAAGGTAAGCTTCTATACTTCCTGATATACCGAATATTTAAGAATCAGATTTTTCAAAAAGATAACCAAGGTGGGTACTGGTGGGTAAAGACACCTGCTCTCAAGTGTGAGAACTTGTTTTCAAATTTGAAGACTCTGATGGTGGAAGAAAAAACCAACTCCTGCAAATTGTCCTCTGGCCTCTTCATACATGCCATGGTACATTCATCCCTCCGTACATAGTCATACAACATAAAATAAATGAAGATATAAAAACAGGCTGTATCAGAGCTTTCCTGCTATAAGGTCTGTGATATTTTGAATGAGAATGGCCACCATAGGCTCATATGTTTAAATAATCTTTTCTTAAGTTTTAAACCTGTTTTAGTTACTTTCCTATTGCTATAATAAGACATCATGACTAAAGCAACTTACAGGAGGAAGAGTTTATTTGGGGCTTACAGTTTCAGAGGGTTAGAGTCTATGACCATCAGGACAGGGAGCATAGCAACAGGCAGCAGGCATGGTGCTGGAACGGTAGATAACACCTTACGTATTAAGATACAAGCATGAGATACAGAGAGTTTGCTAGGAATGGTGTGGGCTTTTGAAACTTCAAAGCCTGCCTCAGTGACACATCTCCCCCAACAAGGCCACACCTTTTAATCCTTTCAAATAGTATCACTCTCTGGTGACCAAGTATTCAAATCTATGAGCCTAGGGGACCATTCTTACTCAAACAACTACGACGTTTATTGTGTTTAATTTGTTTGAGGATATTATCCAAAAATGTAGACTGCAGACAGAAACTACAACCATTCCTCGTCACAAAGAGGTATAAGAATTGGTTTCATGGATTTCCACCCAGTTTCTCAATATAAATAAAGGTATTTTCTTTTTATTTATAGATAATTGTGGTTATATTGAAGATATTTATACCACCATTTTATTTCTTAGAAGATGTTCCAAAGCAGAATTTCTATGTAACTCCTACTTGGCATTAGCAAATGTCAATTCTACCATTTTCTTGCTTAAGACCTTTTTCTAATCATTACATTTCTTTAATTTCAAGTTTTAAAAATAATTATTTTATATGTATGAGTATTTTGCCTGCAGGAGTAAGTGTCTGTGCATCATGTGTATACATAGTAACCATGGAAACCAAAAGAACTGTCAGACCCCCCTGGATTCTGGAGTTACAGAAGGTGTATGTGTGTCAATCACTGAGACATTTATCTAGAACTTTTCCCAAGTTATATTATTATATTATTATAATATATATTATCCCCTCTTTGTGGAGTGAACCATCTTTTATGTATTTGCTACTCGAAGCTGATTCTGGTGTCTTTTTATATTTGCTTTCCACTAGGTATGGAAAAATTAACTTTTTTCAAGTTTGGCCTTCTAATTCCACTGGTGACTTATTCTGTGTCCCAGCAGCCAGGCTCATTGATAGTTGTAGCTCCCGTGTCTTTGTCCTGGTTGGTACAGTCTTCCTTTACTTCCCCCGTGCTTTTCAAAGGTTGTCAGTACTTCACCACACAAGGGCCTTGATAATCACTGACCCTTTCCTAAAGAGTGTATCCATTCATGGTTCATGCTTGAGGGTTGGCTTTATTCTTTCATGCCAGGACTGGAGATCAATTCAAAACAACAACAATAAAAAAATACACTTCAGTGAACCTCTCAGTACAAGCATACAGCTAGACAAATCATCATTATTTCCACTTAAGTATGTTTCTTTTTTCTCCTCTGTAGATTTTAAAAGACCACGGAGAGGCTTTTCTTGTTGGCAATCAACTCAGTTGGGCAGACATACAGCTGCTAGAAGTCATTTTGATGACTGAAGAAGTCTGCGCTCCTGTGCTGTACGACTTCCCTCTGCTGCAGGTAGGATGCTGGTTAGTGTGGACACAGCCCAGAGAGATGCAGCTGGAGCAAAGCCTGCAACGGTACATGCCTCGAAGCTGACTTAAAACTTAAGAGAGAGAGCATCTCATAAGGCATTGTTACCTTCACTCTGGTCCTTTGTTCTTGCTTACCCTATACGGTGTGTCAGGGAATGAATGTTTGTATGATGGGAAAATGGGGATTTGAGGTTTCAGTATGAACATTTAAACTGCAGCTCACAGGTAAAGCACATGGGTCTTAGTTCAGTCCCTGATAACTGCAAAACTGTCAGAACATTCAGGACTTTTTTTTTTTTTTTTAGTACTCTGAAAAAAACATTTTTACTTACTGAAGCAAGAATATCAATCTTTTGTTCTTCCCTCCTGGCTCCTATAAAATGATTACTTTTAGTTGTCCTGATGTTGGTTATGTCGCCTCAGCTTATGGGGAGGAATCCCACGGTTGCCACACCTACTTGGCCCGTGCTCCGGGTCCTCACGTTTCTTAGAGAAAGCCACTAGGCCTTGTCTATTAAGAACAGTGTTTCTAGTTAGTTTCCTCTAATTAGTTGCACTGGGAATCTGAATCACATTTAAGAGCAGACTCCACGCCCAGCGATAGGTGGCCAACACAAAACTCAACGGTATTTTTGGAATTTTTTTGTTTTGTTTTGGTCTCATGTTGTTTTATCTGGGCCTCATTACTGGTTTATACATTATGTTTCAATTTTGAAGTTTTATGAGTTTTGTGTGGGGGGGGGTCTGTCTGCATGTATATGCGTTTCTCTTGCTGTTTCTTAGTTTTTTCCTTTGTTTGTTCTTTTTCTTTTATCCCTGTTCATTTGTCTATTATTTGCCTTTTGTTTTCTTAAGAGAGAGAGAGAGAAAGGAGGTGTGAGGTGAATAGGGTGAGGATGTGGGAGGATCTGAGAGGAGAAAGATAGGGATGGAAAAGCATAGTCAGAATATCTTGTAGGAAAATCACCTCCTCTTAGGACAAAATTCTGATTTCCTATGGTTGTGACAGCTACTGGGCCCCTCACTTCACTACTTCTTGTTTCAGGCATTTAAGACAAGAATCAGCAACATTCCTACAATTAAGAAGTTCCTGCAACCCGGAAGTCAGAGGAAGCCACCTCCAGATAGCCACTATGTTGAAGTGGTCAGGACCGTCCTGAGGATCTAGTGGCAGCATGCTTTAAGGTGGCTACTGCAAGGATTCTATCACAGCATCGCTATAGGCCAGCTGCAGAACATTCCAGAAGCAAGGTGTAGATCCCAGAAGTAAAGGTCTTCAAACAACAAAATCTACAATGACCCACAATGAGAAATGGCAATTAAATTCAGTGAAAAACTGTTCTTATTGGTGAGGTGTTTGCTTTGTTTTAAGCTTGTCAGCTGTGGATGACAGTCTACAAATGTCATGAAACCAGAGTTCCTTGTGAAGAAGTGGTAGACAGACAGACAGAGACATTGAGCTGAAGGGTGTCTGTATAAAGGTCAGGACAGTAACAAGGAACAGTGGTGACTGAAAGCAGAGGATCACCTCAGTAGAGAACTTGGGATTGGAAATGAGTGCTGGAGTCACTGTGCTGTCTGGTAGCCCTATGCTGAAGTGGGAGCAGAAGGGATGTCTGGGACACTGTTCTGAAACCCTATTAAAGAAAAACATCTTGTACATCAGACAGCCCTCTTCCAGCCACAAGAGCCACAGAGGCTCTGGTTTTACTTTGCCTAGACAATCTCAGAGACCAGTGGGACCAACACAAAACCAGTGAATAGTTCCTTATTGAAGCTGAACAAAAGCTTCTTCAGCCTTGATGCGCTTTGTTTAAGTGTTACTATTATTCTCTCAAGTCATACATTAAAGGTGGACCACACATAGGGTTCATTTGATGGAAATGAAAGAGGTGGGAATGCTGCTGTGACTTTTGGTGGCTTCTGGTCTAGAGAAAGCTCCTGCCGATGGTTTGGGAAATGCGATTGCCAGCTCCAAACTCCTCCTAGGACAGCCCATCTGTTTTTTGTTTTTGTTTTTTTGGGGGGTGTTTTTGAGGCAGGGTTTCTCTGTATAGTCCTGGCTGTCCTGGAACTCACTCTGTAGACCAGGCTGGCCTCAAACTCAGAAATCCACCTGCCTCTGCCTCCCAAGTGCTGGGATTAAAGGCGTGCACCACCACTGCCCGGCAAGCCCATCTGTTCTTAAAAATTACATTTTTTTGTGTGTCTGTGCGCGCGCATGTGTCCGTATGTGTGTTCTCACATGTGTGCATGTGCCTGCATGCATGTGTACAGGCATATGACATAGAGTGCACATGGAAATTGAAGACAACTTTCAGAAGTCATCCCGTGGGTTGAACTCTGGCTGCCAGGCTTGTGGGCAAGGACCTCAACCTGCCCAGTGTCTTCTCAGCCCCCCTCCTGTCATTTTCTGATGTGTATCATGCCTTCTCTTGTGAAATAACTTAATGATTTGGATTTCGTTCCATTTCTGTCGGGCCACCAAGGAGCACAACTGCACTAATGTTACACCCTGCTCCACTCATCCCTCTTCCTTTCTTCAGAGGACGGGCTGATCAACAGTTATGACAGCCAGGCCCCTCTGCATACCCCACCCTGGTACATGTTAATCTGGGCCCCTTCCCCCAGAGTGGTATTGTGTAGTCGTCAGCTTTGCTGTAGGTAATGAATACATAAAGCAGTTACTTTTCAAAGCACTTGAGAGGCAGAGGCAGGTGAATCTCTAAGTTTGAGGCTAGCCTAGTCTAGAAAACAAGTTCCAGAACAGTCACAGATGTTACACAGAGAAACCCTGTCTCCAAAGCAAAACAAAACAAAATAGGCCTACAGCTGGATCTTACAAAGGCATTAAGGCATTTTCTTAATTGAGCCACCGCCTTCTCCAATTACCCTAGCTTGTGTCAAGTTGACACAGACTTTCAAATGAATAGGTAATTTTTGGAGCAAATGTAAAATTCTGGTCTCTTCCTCCTATGTTGATTGTCTCTGGTAGACAAGAGTTGCACACAGAGCTGTCATACTAACTGGGTTGGAGCCAGAGGATCTGCCCAGAACCAGACAAAGAAAACTCAGAGAATGCTCACCCCAAGCACTGCTTTTCCTCAGCTTGCAGCCATTCACATGCTATCTGATATATCTGGGAACAGTATTTCCTGGACTCTTTGTTAAGGTATGAAGCTCCCCAGTCAGGTCTGGCAACTTCCCCAGGGACAAATGGGATAGAGAAATCTGAGTGTTTACTAAGGGACCGCACCCCATGCATGGGCTCCCAGGCTCTCCTGTGCAGCTTATCACCATGGAGAGGCTGCATCTGAACAGCATCCCACACTGCTCTGCAAGCCAAGGCCAGGCGGGGCGAACATCAGGTGAAAGAGTGGTGTGACAGTTACCTTCAGCTTTTTCATTTATTACTTATGACAAATGACTTTCCCTGTGGCTTGGGAGGTTTGGAAGAGTATACAATGGGACTTCTACATGGCAACCACTTTCAGAAACTCATCTCATGAACCATGAGACTTACTTTAGGAACTTCCCACTTGAAATGACATCCAGCTGGAAGCCCTGTGGAAACCCCTCTCAATTTCTTTCCCCAAATACCCATGGAAGTAATCAGTGTAGATATACATGAAGCTACCATGAATCTTAATGGGAAATAACAATTTCAATGAAATAGTAGGATCAAGGCAGTAGTCCACTTAACCAGAGGTTACACTTTTGGGGACAATTGAGTCTCCCTCCCAGTAGCCATCAATAGCCAATAGCTACTTAGCTGGGTGTGTGACTTTCTGTCCATGTCCCCTTTCTCTGCTGGGATTTTGTCTGCCTTGAGTTTGCACAGGTTTTGTGCATGTTGCCAGAACCATTGTGAGTTCATATATACAACTTCCCTGCTGTGTTCAGGAAAAAAACTATTTCCTTACAATTATCCGCTGCCTTTGGCTATTACAGTCTTTCTGCCCCACTTCTGCAATGATCCCTGAGCTTTGGGGAGACTTTCCATTTGGGGCTGAGCATTCTGTGGTCTCTTATTCTTTGCAGCTTGACTAGTCGGAGCTTTTGTGCTATTTGCCACCTACAGCAAATAGAGTACTCCTCCTCTAAGTATGAGTGTTACGCCCATGCTTATATATGGGTGTAAGTACTAGGACTTGGTTAATACTATGTCCATGTAGCAGCATCAGAGTAGTAGGTATCCTCCTTAGGACCTGTCTACCCACCAGTTCTTGACATAGTAATGGTGCCAGGGATGGGTTTCATCTTGTGGAATGGGACTTAAATCCAAGAACGTGGTTGATTACTCTTATGTTGTTCTTACCACTATGGCATGGGTGGCCCTGTCTTGACAAGCCATTGTTGAGGTTTTGGGAATGGTTGGAGCACATAAGGAATACCTTTACTGTAAACCCAGCAAGGAAGGCATAGTAGTATACAGCAAGTTTATGATCTTCTAAAAATGTTTTCATATCAGATTGCCAAATAAATTTGACAACAACCTTTTAAAAGTGAGTTTCAGGCAAATAGTTAATAAAAATAAGAGAAAATTCATTATTAATTATACATTTTTCCAAGATGAAAATGCTACTTGCAATACTAGTCTAGAATTATAGGCACATTCTTTTATGTGGGAGTTCATATTGTCAACTTGACAGGGTCAAGGTGACAAGCCTCTGTCTATGCCCATGTGGAATTATACTTGTCAATTAGTTTAGCTGGGTAACTATGGAATGGGAATTTTAAGAACAGCACACAGAATGTGTAGGGCTTCAGAGTGGGATAGAGGAGCCCTGGCTCTAAGCCAGAAGAAGGAACCCAATACTCAGGAGGTTGAATGTGGTCAAGTTTACTTTTTGCTTTGAACTTCAATGCCCTTCTCTGCTAATGAGATTCTATTAGCTACTGCCTAGGTTATTTGTAGAAGGGAGAGTCACTGTTAGATATCACAGTGAATGATGAAAATGTGTGTGACCCACAGCAAATAATCTAATCTCTAGGCCTCATTTTTGTTGTCTCAGCAAAACTTATATCTACCTTTGTCCCTGTCTTGGCCTGGCCTCTGGAAGCCCCATATTTGCAACTGGGAGAAGTTACTTAATAGAAAGATAATTTTGATAATGTGTATGTACAATAAAAGTTCATATCCTACTGTAGAATGACTTTCAGTCAATGACTAAGGAATTTCAGTGTTTTGTAATCTCTGGGTTCTATGTTCCTAATTATTCATGGATCACTCATTAGTGCTAACTTTACTCTCCCTTTTTGTCTACTGAATTATAATAAAATTAATTCCCTGGTAATATACATCTTAAGATGGGTAGAGTTTTGTCTTCTTTTCTCCTTCTTTTCTCCTTCTCCTTTTCTCCTTCTTCCTCCTCCTCCTCTTCCTCCTTCCTCCTCCTCCTCCTCCTCCTCCTCCTCCTCCTCCTTCTTCTTCTCCTTCTAGTTTTTTTCAAGACAAGGTTTCTCTGTGTAGCCCTGGCTGTCCTGGAACTTACTCTGTAGACCAGGCTGGCCTCGAACTCAGAAATCCGCCTGCCTCTGCCTCCCAAGTGCTGGGATTAAAGGCGTGTGCCACTACTGCCCGGCAAGAGTATTCTTCTAAAAGACTTTTTACCATCTAACTTTGAAAATGCCAAATGAAATGTTTTGTTGTATGTGTATATTTAGGATCAGAAGGGAAAGTTCTTGCCATGCAAATCCAATGACCTGGATCCCCAGAACCCAGGTAAAGATGGAAACAGAGAACTAAGGCCATAAAATTATCTTCTGATTGCCACATGCATGCCATGGCACACTCACATACACTAATACATAAAATAAATAATTTAAAATGTGGATATTTAAAATATTTTGAGAGTGGTAGAGCAGGACACCTGACATCCACCTATGACCTCTGCAGGAAGGCACATAGGTATGTGCACCCACACATTCATATGTCTAAACACACATGTATGAACATATGTGCACAAACACACACACACACACAAAGGCTACATAAAAGAAAACCATAAACTTATCTACAAAAGCAAGCATATTAGAGCTCTCAAAAGGAACATTAAAATTCAGGAAAGCAAATGATATAGTTCAAGGCCTGAAAGTATATAGCTATCCATCACAAATTTTTTTTTTAAATTTTTATTTATTTATATATGTAAGTATTCTGTAGCTGTCTTCAGACACCCACAAGAGGGCATCAGATCTCATTACAGATGGTTGTGAGCCACCATGTGGTTGCTGGGATTTGAACTCATGACCTCTGGAGGAGCAGTCAGTGCTCTTAACCACTGAGCCATCTCACCAGCCCCCATCACAAATTTTTATATACAGGAAAGACATCCTTTAAATTTGATGGAGGAAAAAAATGACATTTTCCAGAAGAGATCAAACTAAGGCAATTCATAATTACCACAGCAACACTGCAGAAACCAGTGCATTCTACTTTTCTCCCCATCCACAATCCACAACTCTTTCTTGTTTGAAATCCCTTTTCCTTTCTTTCTCATCTCCAGTCTTTCCTATTATTTGCTTCTTAACTACAACATTCCATAGTGTAATAATCCCTAAAGTGTCTGGACCCCAACACTCTCACAACGCTCCCTCCCCAGTCACTTTGCACACTTTGTTTTCTGAGTTTGACTGACACTGATCCTTAGCTTTACAGAGACTGCTTCCCTCTATACCTAATCTTAGTAACTAACATCCTATGCACCTTGTACCTTGTACCTTGATCTCTACTTGCATGCCATGGCATTTGTGCACACAAATAATAAACCAATAAATTAATTAAGAGATATAATGAAATGTAATTATAAGAACATTTATTGAAACAGAGAATATACGATAAAATCCTAAGTGAAATTAAAG